GGTTTTAGAATGTTCAAGAATTTCTCCAATATTTTGTTCACTATGGTCTCCTTTCCAGAGACCTATAATCTCTCCTCATTCAAACTCAGTAAGTTCACACCTTTTGTACATTGTAAAAGAAAAAAAAAATTTTATTTTCAGGTAGCTGAAGTCAAGAGCTGTATGGAAAAAAAATTTATTTATTTATGCTTAATAGGTTTGGCGTAATCTCATTTTAAAAGGTAATGATCTGTAATCTTAAATCAGGTGGTCGGAGACTTTTGGCCGGGGAGTGTACATGTATAACAACAATGAAGTGGTGAAAATCACTAATAGTAAACCCATCTCGACTGCCACGTAATAATATAAATAGGTTGTTTTTCCTTAACTTGTCCTTTAATTCATTGAATGAATTTCATTGATGATTCGAGAAAGAATTGCTGATATTGAGTTGTGTGAATTAAGAATGAGATGAAGTGAAGCTTTTACATTCTTCATTTCCAGGTATCAAATAATGATGTAGCAACTCTTTCTAAAGTTCTTCGACAATATTTCATATATGGTAACACTTGTTATAGAAATTAACAGGGATTATATGAAAAATACGAATTAATGGTATGCACAATTTTGAGTAAGTTGAATTTTTTTTGTGAGCATTGATTCACAGGAATCGATAAATTTTGGCGTTGCCAGAAGTTGACATTTGAATGATCCCTACCTCAATAGCCTCTGAGATCTAAATCTTCTCGTTTGAGCAAAGTGGTGTTTGCTGTTTCTGGAATATTTGCGGAATCGCTGATTGAAAAATCACAACAGGGTTTTGTATGTAATCTCTACAAAATTCCTGAATTTGACAAAGGAATTATGTTGAAAGCGGTTTGATTGATCAAAGCAAAAATTTTTCACAATGGATTCAGAATGTTTGCTTCAAAAGATATTAATATATTCAATCAGGTCTTAAAGATTCAATCTTAAAAGTGCTGACACTCCATCCGATAAATCGATCTTACCACTGCACATATCCGATGTATGACGTAGAAATTAATTAATTCCAATTTAAAAAATTTCGCTCGCTATTTTAAGTGTTTTCAATGATGATCGAAATATCGCAATATTTGGCATTTCATAAAAATTTGCTAGCTTATTAGAGTGAAAAAATCGTTCATTTGAGTTCTTTATGATTTGCTTGAATCAAACAACAGCTCGGCATGTACATGTACTGTCACAGATGAAAAGCATATGGGTGAATAAACGAATTTTTAGTTTGTGGCCAGGGTTGGAGAGAATAATTAGACTGATTATGACGTTTATCTCCTGTGCTGATGACTACGAATATCGTTCTATAAGTACAATTTTTATGAGAAGAATGTAGACGAATAAAAAGGACTTAGGTGAGGGTCTTCGGGATAATTTGGGTAAGTTATTTTTTGGAAAGGGGGAAGAGGGAAATTGCGTACTATTTATTCTATTAATTCCAACCGATACTTTACCTAGTTAAAAAGCCTCATACTAATCTATCAATCAATTGATGCGTTGTTTTTCTGAATCAAGGACCCAACCAATACGATGTCTATTCTATTACAAGAACAAATAATTAACCAATAAATTGTGATTACAACTACGATTGTAGCGATTACGATGTATTTACGAGTAAAATTATTTATTTTTGAAGAAGAATTATATGCGATTTGTTTTTTTTGGAGGGCAACTTATTGTGATTCTTATTTTTTATGTTATCATCGAGTGATTAATTGATATTTGATCCAAATGCTATCCTTTATGTACATTTGTGCTAACTAAATGAACACCTATTATTCTATGATCTTATTGTATTATCGATATTGCATTCTAACAACAACATCAAAGAATAAGAAAAATAATAAAATATTGAAATAACATATAGAACAAAAAAAAATTGGCTAAAAGATACACCGAAAAACGTGCTCTAATACGCGTTCAATTATACCGGACTGAAAATGGCTTATTATCATGAAATTTGTAATTACACATTATTTCAAAACTAATTTCTTATAGAAAATCTAATAAATTATAGTAATAGAAATCTGTGTCTCTGATAAATTTTAACACATTAAAGGTAATGCAATATTGTCAAATAACAGTTTGATAAACGAATGAATATAAGAGAGAGAGAGAGAGAGAGAGAGAGAGAGAGAGAGAGAGAGAGTGAATATACTTTAAATTATAGAAAATTAATTATTCACATATAATAAATGTACAAATAAATAGTAATTTACAAGCTAAACATTATTAAAAAGATTACCTCGCTTATTAAATACAAAATTTGAAAATTTTAAATCAAATTTTTAATACTTTGCCTATTCAGCTGATTTACAACCAAATACTTTAGCGAATCTGACGTATGAAGCTACAAGTTGAAACTGTTCACTCATTAATCAGTAAAAAACATATTATGTTGGGCTGAAAATTAGTGCGTTCTAGTGAATCTCCTTTATAACAAGAGATCCGAGGATTTCATAACCCACTTAAAATTTTTCATTATGAAAAAAGTACATATGCAAATACATGTGCATTTTCTGTTACAGATGCATTATTCATACTACTAATACATGTACATGTATCAATAACGATAGAGATTGATCGATATGTAGCCTCAATAGAATTTCCTTTATCGGGGTATTACATGTGCAAAGAAATTTTAACTCATTGAACTAAACATTATGCTTATTCGTACGTGTGATTGTTTAATTTTCAAACAGATTTATCGTTGACTTATAATTTTTAATATATAAATTATTTCATCAATTAAAACGAAACTATTTGCGCTGAAAAATTCAGATTCAGTTTATGAAAGTAATATCAATCAGTAAAAAATATACTCTGTTGGGTCGAAAAATTAGTACATTCTAGTGAATCTTCTTTATAACAAGGGATCCGGTTTATAACGAGGATTTCATGGCCAATTTAAAATTCTTCATTATGATAAAGTACATGAACATTTTCTATTATAGATACATTATTCATATCAACAACAATAGAGATCGATCGTTATGTAATCTCAATAGAATTTCCTTTATCGGGTGTTACAGTACAAAGAATTTTAACTCAATGAACTAAACATTATGCTTATTCGTACGTGTAATTGTTTAATTTTCAAACAGATTTATCATTGACTTATAATTTTTTAATATATAAATTATTTTATCAATTAAAAAGAAACCATTTGCGATGAAAAAATCAGATTCAGTTATGAAAATATCATATCATTTGCTTCACAGACGAAATATAGCCGAAAATTTGTTAATAAAAGATTAAAACGCTATGTTGTGTTAAGAGATTAAATTATCATACAAGTCATACTGCTGCTACATGTATTTAGAAATTGCATATTAGGAAATTTTCATACATTTACTCAAGTTTTGTTTTCACTCTTTTTCTAATATTGAGGATTGAATACTGAAAACCTAAGCAAGTTTTGGCCATTTCTTGCTCGTTCCCATCAGCCAGATGCCGAGACCGGGTTTTTACATCTATAATACATGTATAACATAAAATGTCAATGTGCTACCGCTGTTGAAAGGTTACAGTTGTATGAGTTGTATGATAATTTAGCTTCCTAAATAATTGTTGTATGATATACTTTATTAATCATTAGATTAATAAGCTTTTGTCCGATGGAGCTATATAAAGACTATATAGTCAATTCCAATATAAAAGAGTTCCCTCATTTCCCAAAGAAATTCACAATATAAAATAAGTTCATCTCATTAAAGCTTATTGTAAAGCAATATGAAGCCCTTTATCATTTCATTTTTGATTGTTGGTTTTGCTATTGTAATTTATGCTGAAGTGTGTACTATTGGTAAGATTATGTTGATTAATTCGTTAAGTTTAAAACTATTTCACTTCAATATCATTTGCATTTTCTTTAGGGATAAAATACTCTAATGGGTATATGAGCCAGACCGGAGATAACAACGGTGGATGTTTCGGTATTGATAATTCCCAAAGTATAAGCCAAATTATTGCCGATCCTTCTGTTTGCTACCGTCTTTTTCAAGTTTTCGGTTGCTCGAGAAAAGAATATTGTCATGCCTGTGGTACTACCACCTTTCCACATAATGTGGTAGTCTCATCAATCCTAATAATGTGCAATTCCTCAAGTGTACCAGGAAATTGCACACAAGTGCAACCATTAATGTAATGTAGTTCAAACTTAAAATAAAAGTACTGTATATCATATTTATTTTTTTAGTTTAGTGAATTAAAATTAATGAAAAATATGATTCAACAACTTGGATCTCATGTAAGAATAAATAAATGTACAATACCCACAGAAAGTATTGCCCGATTCAAAATTATATAGTAAAACATATAAAAAATGGAAAATTTCAAGCTACATACATATTCATGTTTTTCTACTAATTATTTCTAAATTTATATCATCTTAAAGCTCATGACTTATATTTTTATACAAATGATTCCCAGTTGTGAGAGACTTAAGGTGCAAGAACATTTTGATTTTAAAGGAAAAAAATTTTTTTCACGCTTTACATATAAAAAATTGAAATTTTCAAGCTATATACACTTTCATATTTCTTTTAGTAATTACATATATTTCCAACTATTATACCATTGTAAAGTTAATCAATTAAAGTATTCAAAAATTGATTACTAGCTGTGGGAGACTTAAGATGCAAGAACTGTTTTAATTATAAAATCATGAAAAAAATTTTTATATATATTTTACTATATACATGTAATTTCAAATCGGGCGATACTTTCTGTGGGTATTGACATGATTGTCGATATGCTGATAAAACGTTTGCTAATACGGTGGCTTTAAACCAATCAAATCGTCAGATCAATATGTAACGGAAAAATTTAAAAATAAACGTTTAAAAATAGCTTGTATCTCGAAATTATTCCTATTATTAAACTACTTTCTGTTGTTCTAAAAAAAAGTTCCATGTGAAACTGCTTTAATCCCTAATACTATCAGAATCGAAATATTAATATCTTCACATTTTGATTTGTTTATCCCTTTAAAATCGCGTGAAGATCATTTATTTTTGTTATACCTATAATACAACTGAAATCTGAGTTTAGTTGTTGATCACGCGTACTTCACAGACCAATAAGAATTCGTGAATTATTTAAAGTCTAACACCAATCCAGTCACATTAGAACTCACAGATAGCAAGAAGATTACAGCCACCACCATGATCAAAATTGATAAGTTGAAATGAGATACATATAGAATACATAAGATGAATATACAGGTATTAAAACTATAGAGATATGACTTAATTCTAAATAAATCTTGGTTATTTCACATTAATCTTATCATAGATTGGAGAAACAATACCATCATCTTTATCTATAAGTCAAAAACATCAAAGTTCAAGTAAATAATGAATCAAAAACAGGATCAAGTTGCAACTTAATTTACATATCAAGATAACAAATTGCAAATTTACCAGCAGATACAGAGTTATTTATCATATATTTTAACAATGCTGAAGAGAAAGAAGAAAACAAGAGAAGTTACTCATACTAGAAGTATTAGATATTAAGAGAAGATATCAAGATGTATTTTCAGAAATCATATCAAATTGATTATCATCTAAAAGAGTAATTGATTACAAAATTGATCTCATTTCAGAATAAAAATGGTATCACAATTTGATCACAATTCTCTGATTGACTATTATAATTCTCTAATTAACTATCACAAGTCACAATTAATTGAAATAATATCTTTATTTCAGAATCAGAGTTATCATTTAGATCTATTTATAGATCCTTTTTCACAAAAATAAATAAGCTTAAGAAACAATTAGCTAATCTCATATAGAAAGATTTTATTTACTTTAGTATATTATTATTTGAAGTACTATTTCTTTTTGTATATAAAAAGAAAGATATCTTAAGATTATATATTAACTATAAAGCTTTAAATAAAATTATTATCTAAAATTGCTATTCATTACCTAGAGTTGATAAGTTAATAGATAGACTTACAGATTTAAAATACTTTTTAAAGCTAAATTTATATTTAAACTATCATCAAATTTATATAATCAAGAAAGATATTCACAAAACTATTCTCAGAACTCACTATAATTATTATAAGTTCTTGATCTTATCTTTTAATCTCACTGATATACTTATCATCTTTATAATCTTGATGAATAATATATTTTATAATTATCTAGATAAATTTATAATTATATACTTAAATAATATTTTAATATATAACAAAATAAAGAAAGAATATTTATAATATCTTTAATAATACTTAAAATACTTTACAAGTATAAATTATATACTAAATGAAAGAAATATGTTATTATTTAATAGTATATAAAATATTTTGAATATTTTATATTAACAAATAATATATTAATTAATCAAAAGAATCATTACTATTAGAGATTGGTTAATATTAATAATATATTAGAATTTTACTTTTTATTAAAATTAATTAGTTATTACAAGAATTTTATTAAAGAATTTTCAGTTATAATATTATTACTTATAGTTCTTCTATATAAAATTAAAGAATATAATATCAAAAAATTTTCAAGAATACAGTTTTATACAGATCTTCAGATTTAAAAATTTATATAAAACTTTAAATCTGATAATAATTAATAAAGAAAAAAATCTGTATAAATCTATAATAAAATATAGATTTATATAAATTTTTTAATTTTTTTTTAAAATTCTATGCAAAACTTTATAATATTAGTTTCAAATAGCAGTAGCAATTTTAAATAGTAATAGTAATAATAATTTCAAGTAATAATAAAATTTATAGATTAAATAATAGTAAAATTATTTATTTTATTATAAATATATATATATAATAATAAAATACAAATTTAAAAAAAACTATATATATAAATTTATAATTCAAATTGATAATCTTTTAAATAAAAAATTGATTTTTTTTAAAGATTTCAAAGAAATAAATTGCAAAAAAATATTAAAGAAACTTATAAAATTATTATAGTTATCATCTTTCTTATAATTATTTTCTTCTTTAATCATATTTCTAGCTCTTGACTTTTAATATTTTTTTGTCACTAGCTCTATCTCTTCAATTTCTTTTTTCTTTATCTTTATTATTATTTTTAATATTGTTAGCTAGTTATTTTTCATTGCTTACTAAATATTCAATATATAAATAATTTTTAATACAAACTTTAAGCAAATTTAAAGTATTACTTATCATAAATATATATATATCTTGCTATTGATCTATCTTTGTATTTGATTTCTAAACTTGATAAATTAAAAAGAATATTACAAATAACTAGAATAAATGCATAGTATATTATTAATAATACTTTTTCTTAATATTATTTAAATATTATATAGCTAATATTTATAAGTAATTTATTATTGTAAAAGAGATTTTTGTATATAATTTGAGTTTTTTTCACTTTTTTTTTATTTAGTAAGGTAAATAATAAAAGTATTATTATTAATACTTACTAATTTTTCTTTATTAAATATTAAAAAGATAGTATTTTGAATATTAAAAGCATAGTTATTATATTTACTATAGTATTTTATTCTTATCTAAAATTATCAAACAAAAATAATTAGTAAAAACTTTACAAATTTATATAATTTATAATAAATTTAATGAATATATTATTACTTTATAAATATAAATATTCACATATTATGACTAGAAATGATATAGTAAGTATATAATACTTATTTATCATCTATTATAATATATTATAACTCCAAAATTTTATAAGTTACAACTAGTTATAACTAAATAATACTTATTTATTATCATATTATAATAATTAAGAAGCTATTTTTAATTATAATTCATATTATTAATATAATTTTCAGTATTTTTACTAAATATTTCTCTATTATTTATTAATACTTTTTGAAGATTAGAAAAAGAATCATAAAGATTAATTTCTTAACTAAAGATAATAGCTATAATTACTACAGTAATAATCAAAAATAATGTAATATTCAAATCACAATTTTTAAATCATCATATCTCTTTCAGATTTAAAAAATTTCAAATCATGATTGATATTATTAAATAATATAATTCTACTATTTTATAATTATAAATTTATTACTGTGTTAATAATTTAAATTTTTTTTAAATTAAAATATATTCAATGTTATATATTGCATTATATTTTTTCTTTTTAAATACAATAAAAATTACTCATATACATTAATAAAAAAAATTGTTTTTTTTACTTTTTTTTTTAAAAACTAACTAATCTAGTTTAGCTTTATCATCTTGTATATCTACTGTGAGCCTTTATTATATCTGATATTCTTTTTGATATTGACTTGATAAGACAAGTACTACATTAGATAAATAATGGGATGTATATATATCATTAGCATTATTTGCATACAGAACATTTTGAAATAATATTATTAAACATAAACTTTTCTTTTTAATTTATAAAAGAGATATCCAATTACTAATTAATTTGAAATATCCATTACTAATAGCAGAAAATAAAAATGAAGAAGATAAAATATTAGATTAAATATTTTTATTAATTTATTACTTATCAGATAATATCAATACAGTACAAAATTGAATTAAAAAATAATAATAATAAATAAAGGAAAAATATGACTTAAAATTATAAAGAATTACATAATTTGAAATTGGTGATAAAGTTTTAGTGTACAATATGAAATAATATGTTACTCATAAAATAAATTTCAATCATAATAAAGTACAGAATAGTTCTATATTCATGAAACTCTTGACAATAGAGCTTATAAATTGTAAAACCAATATAATTAACTATTACATAAAACTTTTAATGATACTTAACTGAAGTCTTATCATAGTAGAAAAGAATACTTTGAGTCAAGAATAATTATTGAATACATAGAAATACCAACAACAGAAGAAAAAAATAAAGAATAAATTTTTAGTTTCATGATATTTATTTATTTATCTCTTAATTTACACAAATCTTATTTAGTAGTACATATATGTATACATACTGATCATTTATTAAAAATTTCATTTTATAAATATATGACTTTTACTTTGATATTTTCTTTAAATTTTTATCACTTTTAATTATTTTAATAATCTTATTAAATAGCTTAATTTCTTGTTAATATTTAACTTTTTAAAGATAAATAACCTTTTTAGTAATTTTGATTTTATTCAAAATATTT